AGGAGGCAGGAGAGGGGGTCTCCTTGGTGGACCCCTCTTCTAACTGTGAACTCACGGCTTATTTCCCCATTCACTATGACTCTGGTCTTGGCATTGGTATAAAGGGCTCTTATTGTGTTGATAAGGTTTTCGGGTATGTTCATTGATCATAGGGTCCTCCAGAGGTAGTCGTGTCTTATTCTATCATAGGCTTTGTTAGAAACGGGCGGATACAGATGACTCCGGAGTGGAATCGGAGACTTAGCGTGGAGGGACCTTGGCCTCAGCAACTCAAGCGGAGCGCTGTGCCATTGCTGTTTGTCCATTTGGTCCTTAATTTCACAGTAGGCAAGCAGGAAGTCTCTAGGGGGCATTTCAGGTCGATTTCGGACTGAGCCCAAAACGAGTATGTACAAGCGCCGATATATATATGGAGGGGGCAAAAGCACAAGGAAACAAAGGGGAACCGAATCGGAACGAAGATGTCCGAACGGGAACAAAGGGTAGAAGAAGCGGAGCAGTACTGAAGGTCATAAGGCAGGACCTGTGATACGTCCGAAAGGAGGTAGGGAGGGCGAGGCCCAGAGGGGCAGGAGGATGAGGAGAAGTGGGGATGATGACTAACTGGCTAGAATGGGAAGAAGCAGCAGTCCAAATAGGGATGAGGGGAAAACGCGAGAGATACATTACAAGCGGCGAAAGTGCCGAAGGCAATCCACGAAGCTCGGAGGTTGCGGAGCTTATGGAGGTTACGGAGGTGGGGTTGAAAGTCCGAGGAATATTGGCAATGGTGTTTACGTAGTATGAGGTCACCAATGCAATGGACTAAGACCGAGGTGGAGTCAAAGTCCGAGGTAGGGACTATGACAGAGGCTCGGAGCAAAGGTACGAGCGGTGCCTGAGTACGAAGTACAGGACAGCGGTGGAAGGTCGTAACTTGGTGGGAGGCCGGTGGAAGAGTACCAGAGGGAGGAGAGAGGAGAAAGGTAAGGGAGAAGGAGTGGCAGAAAGGAGAATTGTCAGGTCCGAAGGTGAGTATCGGAGCAGACGGGGGAAGTGTAGGAGGGTGACGGGAGGGTGGTGCATTGTGAAGGAGGAGCGGAGTAGGAGGAGGAGGAGTAGTAGGAGGGTGGCAAGAGGGGCGGTGTTCGGTCCGAGGTGAGTATCGGAGCGGATGGAGATAGGGGAGGAGAGGGAAGGAGGAGTAGAGGTGGCATGGGGGGTAGAAGGAGGTGTGTTGCCAGGACCGAAGGTGAGTATCGGAATGGGCAGCGGTAGGGTATGACTCCGGAGGTGAAGAGGGTGGAGGTCTGGAAGTCGGGTTGGGGTCGGGTATGCACAGATATGACAGGCTTTCTCTTGGTCGAGGGCTATGATTGCACCATCTTGGCCGGTTGTCTCACATAACTCAATCATTCTGTTTACGAGGTCAATTCGGTCAAAGATGCTATGGTTCTTAATAAAGGCTGCTTGACATTTATTGATCAGTTTTGGGGCAATAGGTTGGAGTTTATTCATGAGCACCGTAGTTATTATTTTGTATTTGGCATTTAGGATGGTGACTGGGCAATAGTTGGTGATCAGTCTCTTATCTTTTTTCTTATAGATCAGGCAGATCCAGCCGGTTAGGAGGGCTGGTTCTGTGACTCCGTTCACCTCGATGTCGTTGGTGAGTAGTTGGAGCATTTCCGTTATGTTGAGTTTCTTATTGTCTTGTGGGTCTTTCGATGACCATCTGGCATCTAGTTTCTTGTAGAGTTCTGTGGGTATTCCATTTATTCCAGGGGCTTTACCATTGGGTGATTGTTTTAGGGCGGTTTTTATTTCGATGTGGTTGGTTTTCTTTTTAAGGGGAATACTCTCTTGGTCCGTGAGTTTTGTTACATTTTGTAGCATTGTTTGTGTGTTGATCTCTCTTAGGTCTGGTGGGATGTCTAGGTCTACGTCCTGGACAGAGTCAAAGTGGGTTGCAGCTATGTCAGCCATTTCTGAGGAGTTAGAGGTGTATGTTGGTGGGTTGGGGTTATTGTCATATCCATTCCCGGCCATCGACTTCCGGTCCCTCCGATTCCTCCGTTCCAACTCCGCTCCTCCCTCACTAACCTCGGAGCCCCCGTTATTCCGCAATCCTCTCGGTACCCCTCGATGGTCACCACCCCCCATTCCAATTTATTACCTACGCCTCCCTAAGTACGGAGCCCCGAAGACTTCCGGACAGCTCTGACGTCCGCTAGCGCACCCCCGCCTCCGCTGAGCAATACACTCGCCTGCCCTGCAGAGTCCACCTTCGGGCTTATCCCTCCTTTCCGTTTCTGGGTTATCGCCTGCCTTTCCGCTAACCCCGTGAACCGACTCGTCGGTAATATTCAGTCGGCTAATGGTTAAACCCCGTTAGCTCCGCTCCGTTCGGCTCCGCCAATTGCGGAACCGTCTCCGCTGTAACCATATATATATCCCACTTGTACATAGGTTACGCCCCAGTAGAAAAATCAACTAGAGTTCCCCCCTAGGTTCTAATTGCCAGTCAGTAAGTTAGGGCACAGACATGTCACTAGGCACAGCGCTCCTGGCAGAAGTCGCTGAGGCCGAAGCCCTCCGTTACGGAGACATTCTTTCGTCTCAAGTCTGGTCTCTGACAGTTATTTTGGAGCCTAAGTTCCGTTATTGTGTCTCTGGGTTTTCTTGTTTTTCCCCAGTTGCACCAGTATTTGTTTATCGTTTCAGCTAGTATTCTTCTGTTTGTTTTTGCGTTTGATTTAGTTTTCTCATGTCTGATTCTTTCTATTTCTTTTATTTTTTCTGATAGGGCTCGGATTCGTTTGAGTGCATTGTTTTCTGAATCGTGGTCATTTGGGTTTAGGTTTTTTATGATTTTATTTCTTCTTCTAGTGAGTTTTTGTATTGACGAGTTCATTTTTCCTGATTTTATTTTTTCTAGTTTTTTTGCGATGGTTGTGGTGGATTGGATGAAGGCTTGGAATTCTTCCTGTATGCCTTCTTTTTGTTCGAGTTGGAGTGTCTTCATTTTGCTTACGGACTTTCTTCCTAGTGATTCTATTTCTTCGAGGAAGGGTTTATCATTCACTAGGTATAAGGGCATTGCCCATCACCCTCTGCCAATTGTTGGGGTGTCGTTGTCATAGATTTTGGTGAGTATCAGTTGGTGGTCGGTGGTGGGGATTTCGGAGTTGTTTATTTCCCAGGCATAGGATTTGTGTATTAGGTTTTCCGAGGCATATATTCTGTCGATTCTGGACATATGGGAACCTGTGTTGAGTCCAAAAGTGTAGTTTCTGGTTGGAGCGGGGTTAGTTTTTCTCCAGCCATCTTGCAGGTTGTGTAGTGTTAGGAGGTTCTGGAGGGCACTGACTGCATTCGGTGCATCGGTGTGTTGGGGGAGGCGATCTAATGCTTCTTCCACTATATTGAAATCGCCTAAGATGGCGTCTATTCTGGTGTTTGTTGTCGCATTGAGGAGCGTGTCCCAGAATTCTTGGTTCTCATTGCCAGTATGAGTTGTATTTGGGGCGTATATGGCAATTATGGTCAGTTCTTCGCCTAGCAGCCATTCATAGGTTGCTAGGGTTGCGTGCCCGGGGATGAGGTTCTTCGTTTGGAGGGGTGGGTTTTGTCAGAGACCAGGTTGAGACGAAGGAAAGTCTCCATGGCGGAGGGCTTCGGCCTCAGCGACTTATGCCAAGAGTGCTGTGCCAAGTAACACGTCCGTGCCCTAACTTACTAACTGGCAACCAGAACTGAAGGGGGTAAACTCTAGTCGATTTTATTACTGAAGTGTAACCTATGTACGAGTTGGATATATATATAGTTACAGCGAAGACGGGTCCGCAAATGGCGGAGCCGAGCCGAGCCGAGCTAACGGGGTTAGACATTAGCCGACTGAATGTTACCGACGAGTCGGGTTATGGGGTTAACGGAAAGGCAGGTGATAACCCATAAACGGAAAGGAGGGATAGGCCCGAAGGTGGGCTCTGCAGGGCAGGTGAGTGTATTGCCCAGTGGAGGCGGGAGTGCGCTAGCGGATGTCGGAGCTGTCCGGAAGTCTTCAGGGCTCGGTACTTAGGGAGGCGTAGGTAATAAATTGAAAGGAGGGGGTGGTGACCATCGAGGGGTACCGAGGGGATTGCGGAATATGGGAGCTCCGAGGTTAGTGAAGAAGGAGTGGAGGTAGACCAGAGGGATTGGAGGGATCGGAAGTTGTTGGCCGGGGATAGATATGACAGGTTTTTATTATGCTTTTATTAGTTATTATAGATACTCCTCCCACTCTTGTATGGTTTGGGTCATAGGAGTGTTGGAGGTGGAAGGTGTGTGTGTATTTGTCGTTGAGGGCGTTTTCCAAGGTGAGGTCGGAGTGGGTTTCAGAGGCGCACATTATTGCTATTTTCTCTTATTTGGTATCCCACTTGTGCCGAGTTTGTTGGCTATTTGCTCCTTTCAGGTTTAGGGCACCAAGTTTAAGGCAGCCACCCTTAGTGGGGTTGTTGTTCCCACCTCTGAGTCTTAGGGGTATGTGTTTTGTATTTTTTGGGTTTTTTTGCGTTATTGTAGTGTGTTTGGCCAGCTCGGTGCAAGCAGGGTTTTCCACAGCTCATGTTTTACTCAACCATGCACCTGCCATGGACAAGGCACAGGGGTGAGGCAGGATTGCTTTTGCGACGTCCCCATCTCCTGGCTCAAGTGGGGAAGGGCCTAACAGTTTTGGGCTGGTATGCTGGCCGGCACTACCAGGTGGTTCCAGCAGTACCACTCTTCCCACATGGTTAGATTGGGTTTGTGGGACCGGTGGCAGCTTAGAGTTGGGCTGTGAGTTCATGTAAGGGTTGTCAGTTTTTAGGGACTTGACTAAGTCCGTAGGGTAGCATTTACGGCCCACCAGGCATGTAAGTAGATTTGATTGGGTTACTAGTTAAGTACAGGGATTTTTTAGGTTTGTGGTAGAGGTTGGTGGGCTCCTCTTCCTCTGGAGTAGGCGTTGCCTCTTGCGGGTCCTCATGCAGATCTCATGGAGCCTCTGTTGGGTCTTCCTCCCGGCTCAGTCCAGCGTGCGACATCATATTTTCTTGCGTTGCATATTGATTTCCTTCTGCTATAGGGTTGTTACTGACGGTGCTCATTCTGGTGAAGTTTTTTCGGGGGTAGATTTCGGTCCAGAATGGTAGTTTGGTAAGTGGGCATTGGTAGGTTGAGTGGTCCTTGCCTTTGCAGCATTTACAGGTGTTGCGGGGGTTGCGGAGTTCCCCAGTGGCTATTTCTGTGTGGTACCACATGGTGGCTTCGGCCTCGGTGATCCATTGTTTATGTTGGTTGGCATCGGTAGGGTGGGGGGAGTCAACTGTGAATGCCCAGTGAGTGGCCTCGCTATTTTGTTTGATTATGTTTATTGGCTGGACTTTCACAGACTCGATGATGAAGAGGCGTTCAGCTGTGTCTGGGATTTTTGTGCGGAGGTATTTTCCTATTTTTGTGTGGGCATTTGCGAGGTTGCTCTTAAGGCATTCTATGACAGCAGGTTTATCGTTCTCGTTTGCAGCAAAGGCCCAGTTCCCAATCCAGGTCGAGATGAAGGGCGTTGCAGGGTATGCCACAAAGCAGAAGGCCTTTGACAGCCAGAACTGGTGGTGGAGCAATGTGGCAGCGTCGCAGTACATCAGTCCGGCTATCATGATCCCCCACGGGAGGGGTTCTTCTCCTTGCTGGTCCATAGCCTTGGCAGCGGGGATGATGGTTAGAGTGCCTTGTGAGCCTGGGAAGGCTCGCTTTAGGAAGATTGCGGCGTTGGTTTTGGCTTTTTGGATTTGGGTGAGGGAGAAGGACATGTAGAAGGGAACAATGATTACTGAGAAGTTCCTGGCTCTCTGCCATTCTTGTTTGGCTCTTTCTAGGACATTGTGGCATAAGTGTTCGCTGCTTATTCCCAAAACCCTGTATTCAAAGCTCTCTGGTAGTGTCATATCCATCCCCGGCCATCGACTTCCGTTCCCTCCGATCCCTCCGGTCTACCTCCGCTCCTTCCTCACTAACCTCGGAGCTCCTGTATTCTGCAATCCTCTCGGTACCCCTCGATGGTCACCACCCCTCCTTTCAATTTATTACCTACGCCTCCCTAAGTACGGAGCCCCGAAGACTTCCGGACAGCTCCGACGTCCGCTAGCGCACTCCCGCCTCCGCTGGGCAATACACTTGCCTGCCCTGCAGAGCCCACCTTCGGGCCTATCCCTCCTTTCCGTTTCTGGGTTATCGCCTGCCTTTCCGCTAAACCCGTGACCCGACTCGTCAGTAATATTCAGTCGGCTAATGTTTAACCCCATTAGCTCCGCTCTGTTTGGCTCCGCCATTTGCGGACCCGTCTTCACTGTAACCATATATATATCCAACTGGTACATAGGTTGCACTTCAGTAATAAAATCGACTAGAGTTACCCCCTTCAGTTCTGATTGCCAGTCAGTAAGTTAGGGCACGGACGTGTCACTAGGCACAGCGCTCTTGGCATAAGTCGCTGAGGCCAAAGCCCTCCACCATGGAGACTCTCCCTCATCTCGAACCAGGTCTCTGACAGGTAGGTGGAAGGCATTGTATTCCATTAGGTCATCCTGGGGCGTGCTGTACGGGCCCAGCGAGGGGTGGATGACTGTAGTTGGAGGTGGGCTGGGTTCCTTTTCTTGGGTGGTTGGGAACTCAGAGTCCGCTGCCTCAGATGCTTGGGTTCTCAGGGTAGGGGTATTCATGGAGTAGTTTGGGTTGGTTTGGACTGGGGTACCCGGGGGGGATGGGGTTCTGTGAACAAGTACTCTAGGGGTGGCCAGGCGGTTATCAGAGGCGCGTTGTGGTTTTCTCCAGGTATCTGGTCCGGCGCTGGGCTGGGGATGGGGGCGAAGGACATTCTGATTTCTTTTCTGGGGGGGCCGGATCTGTCTGAGGCACTGGAGTCCTCCCGGTCTCGTTTCTGGCCTGCCAAGGGTGGGAGGTGGTCGGTTTCGTGGTCAGCGTCCAGGTGCATCGACAGCATTTGCGCTTACTGTGTGGAACAGCTCAGTAGTTATGCAGGTAACTGCACAGTTATCGGTGTGTTCTGGGGGGTTGTATGCAGGGTGGGTGGGCGGGTGGGTCACATGGTGGGTATTTTATGTTAATTTGTCTTTTGGTTATTTCAAGTTGAGAATTTGTGCTTAGTTGGCTTCGTGTTGGTTTGTTTGCTAGGGGGTTTGGTGGGTGGGGTTTTCAGGGAGTTTCTCTGGTGTTTTTGGTTCAATTTCCAGGCTGGCTACAGTGGGTTCACATTCTCAGTGTGTATGTGAGTTTCTTATTATTCTCCTGTTTTTCATCTGTTTATTTTCCTGGATTTTGTGGTTATGGTGGTCAGTCGGCCTTAGGGTGTGGTTTGTCGGGCATGTGGTGGTTGGGTTATTGTTTGGCAGGATTTCTCACGGTTTTCCATGTTAATACTGGTTGTGGTTGTCACAGGGGCTTGCTAACTGTACAGTTTTTGGTTGGTTATAGGTGGGCACTGTTTTTGTTACCCTAGTGCTTGTGTTCAGTTCTTGTTGTTTTGTGGGATAGTGTTGTGGTTTGGGGTAGTGGTTTCAAGTATTTTACGGTTTTTTGTTTTTGTTTGTTTTTTTTTTTTTTTATTGTTGTTGTTTATTGTACAGCAGGGGGGCTGGTGTCTAGCCGGCTACTGGAAGGTTATCCTGGGCCTCATCCCGCTCAGAAACTGTCTGAGTCCCTTGTTATGGGCCTGCCTAGAGGCAGGGGGGCCGTGATTTTCGGCTGGTAGCTTCCATGTTACCTGAGGTTGCCCCTCTTCCTAGTTCCGTAGCTTCTCTCCCTGTTTCTTATTTTCAGTACGGGTTTGGTGTTTTTCCCGTCTATCTTGCACTATCTTCCCTAGTTTAACGACTTTGCAGTCGCTTGTCTCTATTTCTATTCCATGGTCGACTTCCCTTTTCTCTATGTATCATTACACACCTAATGCCGCTCCCCCAATCGCTGCACCCGTCGTGTGCATTCCCACCTACAGAGCGGCACACCTTTGGGATCTTCTGTGGAGACACCCAGAGAGGTCCGGCTGTGTGCAGAGATGACATGGCTCCCCCCACATGACCCTGACCGCATGTATATAATAGCACCTGGGGTGGGAACAGAAGAAGCCGCCTTCTTCTCAACTTCCCACTTCAGACTAAGTGGTCAGGGATGCTCCCCCATGACGTGATCGCTGCTATGCACAGCCGACATCTGTCCCATCAAGTCCCTCATGCTGGGACTTCACCGCTTTCGGAGCTGTCCCTGACACACCCCTGGTGCTGGGGCTGATGTTGACCTCATCCAGAGGTACATTCAGTGGTGTCTGAGCCCTGATCAGGTTGATATGCATGCATATGCATGCAACTTTATGTTCCAGAGAGTGGAATCAGACTGCCAGGCAGAACTCTGTGGAGTTGCTTCATCAGCAAACTTGGTAGGGAGCTCTTGGAGCTCCCAGAGCTCTCAGAGCTCTGTGAGCAAATTGAGTCTTTTTGCTGTGCACCCTCTACACATTGGGTGGAGAAAATTAAATGTTTGAATGATTTTATTCTCCTAAGGATGCAGAAGTGCAAAGATAATATGTATATACATTTTTGGAAATGCATATTAAATGGCCAGCATCATTACTTGAAACACTCTATGAGCTCTATGAGCTCGGTGAGCTCATAGAGCTCATAGAGCTTTTTGTTTTTAAATCATGGATGGTCTTCATATCTCCATGAAATCTGCTTAGTTATTTTGGCACCAGTAGTGCAAAGATAATATGGACATATATGTGTGTAAAATGGCCATTGTCATTGCTCTGAAAGCTCTATGAGCTCTATGAACTCTATGAACTCAGTGGGCTCATAGAGCTCATATACCTTTTGTGTTTACTAAAATCAGCACCTTATTTGTTTATTGCTATTTACAAAATATGAGGAAAACTCTGAAATTCAAAAATTTGCACTTTATCTTTCATCTCATTTCTTGCTCAAAACTCAACCAATTTTGATGATTCTATGTGAATTGGAAAGCACCAAAGTGTGGCAATGTAACCATGCATGTTATGTAGGGTATAAATCAGTTTTAACAAAGTGTTCCAAATGAAGTAAATTGAAAATACCACCCAATAAAGCAAACAAAAAGCTGATGTATTCTTCAGATATCATCCAAGCCTTTGACACCAAATTTCCCATGGTCAAAAAGCCATGGTTATTTGGCTCACTGTCAGGGCCCAGCCCTTGTTCTGTGACGGGCCCAGGGGGATCCTCCTAGTCGCTGGGGTATCTAGTCCCAGTCCGAGATCCTCAAACTCACTGAGGGGGCTAAACCTTCTCAACCTCCTCTACAAATGGGAGCCAGGAACTATACAGTTTTCAGCTCTTTGTTGACTTTCCATAAATGGCACCCCCCCCCCGTGGGAACGAGCTGCTCACCCAGAAAGTTCCCACAGTTGTGGCTGTGATGGTTTCTGGGTGAGTAACTTGCCCAGAACTTTCCCATGGGTCTGCATGCATGCGGGATTGTGGAATAGTGAGGGGCTGTGCCCTGACACTCACCAAAACATGGTGGGAGACTTTTCTAACACTGAAACATACATTGCTACATTGCCCCACTTTGGCACTTTCCAATGCACATTGAATTATCAAAAAAGTGAATTAAATTTTTTTTTCCAATTATTCCTAATTTCCTGAAATATCTCTCCCTAACTTATCCCAAAATTTCGGATTTTTCCCCTGATTTTTTGGACATTCTCCTTTTTTAGAAAGTCCCCCATTTTCTGAATTTTCCTTAATTTTCCCTGACTTTTTTCAAGTTTTTAGAAACCCCCCAGTTCCCCCTCATTTTCCTCCCATTTTCCCCTTCATCCCCCCCTCAATTTCCCCCCATCCCCCCCTTCGATTTCCCCCTCATTCCCCCTCATTCCCCCCTCCAAATTTCACCCCATTCCCCCCCTCCATTCCCCCCCCACTTCCCCCCTCAATTTCCCCCCATTTCCTCCCTCATTTCCTCCCTCATTCCCCCCAATTCCCTCCTCATTTCCCCCTCCAAATGTCACCCCATTCCCCCCCTCCATTTTCCCCTCATTTCCCCCCTCATTTTCCCCCCATTTCCCCCTTTAATTTTCCCCTCATTTTCTCCCTCATCCCCCCCCAATTCCCCCCCATTCCCCCCCCCACTCATTTTCCCACTCATTTTCCCGCATTTTCCCTAAGTAATTTCAGATTAACTGCATTTATATCCCTAAATTTGGCTTATATATTGATTGGGCTACATACCCTTGGTGTCTGGTGCCACATTGGTGCTGAAAGTGAAGCTGAGTTTGTTCAGTCCCTTGTATGGTAGTGACTTGGCTATGGCTAGTCACATGATGCCATAGTCAATGCTTTTAAATTTAAATTTTAATATCGGGTAAATTAAACACTCAGGGAGCTCATATAGATAATAGTCCCCTGTGTGCAAATATAGCTCTATGAGCTCTCAGAGCTTTGACTACTTTTCGGAGCTCTCAGAGAAGGGGACCTGCAATTTCAAAGTACTGAAGCTCTGAGAGCTCTGAGAGCTCTGAGAGCTCTATGAGCTCTCAGGCCTCCGCATCCAGGTTTGCTGATGTTCCTGACTCCACGCACTCACGCGCCCACTCTATGTTTTAAATATAAGGCTATGGTGCATAAGTGTCTCAGACTCATGTTAGAGATCTATAATTTGTATGTACCTATGGCACGTAAGTGTCTGCATGTAAGGAGTGGTAACCCCACCCTTAATTCCTATCTTCATTCTATATGTGTCTCATAATAAACATGTATAAACA